AACCCATCAGAGTATCCTGAATGGAGTTTCCTCTGGAGGACATTGAAGTCCCTCCTATCATACCTTTCTGAGTTAAAGGTGATTGAAAGTCTAAAAACTTGTTAGCAGCTGGGTGCAGTGGCTCACACCTGTACTCTCATCACTTTGGGTGGCTGAGGCAGGCGGATCACCTGAGGTCAGGAGTTTGAGACCAGCCTGGCCAACACGGTGAAACCCTGTTTCTACTAAAAACACAAAAATTAGCCGGGTGTGATGGCAGGTGCCTATAATCCAAGATATATGGGAGGCAGGGATTGCAGTGAGCTGAGATTGAGCCACTGCACTCCAGCCTGGGTGACAGAGCGAGACTGTCTTGGGGTGGGGGAGGGAGCGGTGGTGGGGGAAGACTAAAAGAAAAATCAATGTTCAGTGTGTCTTCAAAATGTTTATATTCTTTCAAGGCTCAACTCATTTATGTAACGTTATCTAATCAAAGAATTCCATCCCAGGTCCTGTAGCACTTAAACACGTACCCCTCTTTTGGTACTTAAATGCTTTATATAATGTTTGAATTTCTAATTAGATTTTCCAGTAAAGTCTACTCCAAAACCATCTTATACCTCATTGTATCTCAAGGAAGATACACTGCCTAACTGCTGACTTAAAATGTGTTTTAATCTGGCTCTTCAGGGGCTCAAGAAAAGTTGACAACTGTACTTGACTGAAGGACAGTTCATAAACTTTCAGCGCAAGAGAAATTCTTCTACTTAATTTTCTAAATGCAGATTTGAGGTAGCTAAATGAATAGTTATGAGTTTGCATGAAGAGGCTAAAATCTGGAAGCCAAGTCAGTAACTGAGAAGGACACAGAATAGCAATTATTGTACCTGCTGGAATATTCCATCTTAAAGATTCAGTTTGTGAACAACAAAAAACAAGTGTATACTATGAACAAAAAGGTCCTTTTATAATTTAAGTCTCAGAAGTCTAAGACTACAGTAAGCAAAAGAAAATCATGGTTTAATCATTTTTTGTAGTCTTTTAAGTATAATAATAATGTTAAAAACCTCTATACCTTCATTAGGAACAACCACTCAGGCATTACATTTACGAAATGAAGGTAAATAATGGCACAAAATAGAATTTACACATCAGATAGCAGGTTGTCCCATGATTTTCCAATATCAAATAAAAATCTAATGCAGAACCAGAAAAACTATCCAAAATTTTTAACCTCCTTCTACTCCTTTCATTGGAAATGACGTAGGTACCAGGTGCGAGGTGCAACTTGAAACTGAGTGAAACACCTGAACCAGGATTTTTCTTATATAGGCAATTAAACTACTGCTTGTTTCAAATTTCCCTTTAGTTGGGTGTAACCTGGAGCAATTTCTTCATAGTACCATGAAAAATAAATGGTGAGATTTCCAACTAGATCCACAAATGCCTAAGTAGTTTAGAAACCAAAAGTCAACTACAACTGAAATACTTTAGAAACCATGAATTAACTACCCACGTTAACCCCACTCCACCCAAAGTGCTCTAGAAGACGTTATCATTACCAAATTATTATTTTCCTAGACACACTATTTGACAGTTGACACTCTGCTCTTAAATCACTCCCTTATTTCCATGGCTTCCAACTCATCCCTCAATAGATGTCTGAAACATATTTTAATGATTTCCCCATTTTTGTCATTGTCTCTTTCAACAGTTGTCTCTGTTTTTCTACTTGTAAACACCCTTACTCGGTCATTTCACACATTGTTACATTATTTGGATGGAATTCATCAGGGACATAGTTCTAAGAAGGGTGAGGAAGGGAAAATCACTAAGTAGAAAGAACAGATTTCTCATATTATGTAGTAGGGAATGGTATGTTTTAACAATTATTAGAATGTATAGTATTCTGACCTTTTTCAATTAAGTGCTATTAAAACCAAGTGGAGTTGGTTAGACAAACACAGGCTGGGAGTCCAGTGATATTGTAATCTTTACATTCAGCAAAGACTATATAACCAAGAGAATGGTTCATAAATGTATCTATCACTTTTCCTGAACTTGGGAGTTAGAAAAATCTGAGTGTCGGCAGTGTAGCACAAATATGCATTACAAACATGTTAATCATTTTGTGCTTATAAACACCACCTTTAGAACTAGTAACACTTCTGACCAGGTGGCTCACGCCTGTAATCCCAGCACTTTGGGAGGCTGAGGCGGGCGGATCATGAGGTCAAGAGATCGAGACCATCCTGGCCAACATGGTGAAACCCCAACTCTACTAAAAATACAAAAAAATTAGCTGGGAGTGGTGGCAGGCGCCTGTGGTCCCAGCTACTTGGGAGGGCTGAGGCCGAAGAATCGCTTGAACTCAGGAGTTGGAGGTTGCAGAGCTGGCAGTGAGCCAAGATTGTGTCACTGCACTCCAGCCTGTTGACAGAGCAAGACCTTCTAAAAAAAAAAAAAAAAGTCAGATCTAGTAACACTTCTTTGTTTTTAGAAGGCAAGCTATTTTTGTTAGTCTTGGCGCATTTTCTTGCAGGAAGAAGATGTTGATGTTAGGCCTGCAATAAAAAGCGAGGCTCCATTTACTCACAAAGTGAATATGAAAGCAAGATTTGAACAAATGGCTAAGGCAAGAGAAGAAGAAGAACAAAGAAGAATTGAAGAACAAAAGTTACTACGTATGCAGTTTGAACAAAGGGAAATTGATGCAGCACTACAAAAGGTACCAGGCTTACATATCCTTTATTTTCCAAAGATGCCCTCTTAAAACCCATAGTTTAATTAGGTGGGTTAAAAAATGTTTTAATAGCTTTCTTTCAAGTCACTAGAATCTATTTTTTTTTTTTTTTTTGAGATGGAGTTTCGCTCTTGTTGCCCAGGCTGGAGTGCAATGGTGCACTCTCAGCTCACCACAACCTCTGCCTCCTGGGTTCAAGCGATTCTCCTGCCTCAGCCTCCCGAGTAGCTGGGATTACAGGCACGAAACACCACAACCGATTAATTTTGTACTTTTTAGTAGAGACAGGGTTTCTCCATGTTGGTCAGGCTGATGTTGAACTCCTGACCTTGGGTGATCTGCCCACCTCCGTCTCCCAAAGTGCTGGGATTATAAGCGTGAGCCACTGCGCTGGGCCTGGAATATATTAAGTACACTTTGCAGTAGGCATACTTGTATGTTCTTTACTTAAAAAAAATTTTACTTCAAAATTCTGTTACTAAATCGCTGTAAATACTGTATTATAAATGCCAACCTGAATACATTTATTTTAACATAGAAAAGAGAAGAGGAGGAGGAGGAAGAAAATGGCATCATGAATGGCTCCACTACTGAAGATGAAGAGCAAACCAGAACAGGAGCTCCATGGTTCAAGAAACCTCTTAAAAACACATCAGTTGTAGACAGTGAGCCAGTCAGATTTACAGTTAAAGTAACAGGAGAACCGAAACCAGAAATTACATGGTGGTTTGAAGGAGAAATATTGCAGGATGGAGAAGACTATCAATATATTGAAAGGGGAGAAACTTACTGCCTTTACTTACCAGAAACTTTCCCAGAAGATGGAGGAGAGTATATGTGTAAAGCAGTCAACAATAAAGGCTCTGCAGCTAGTACCTGTATTCTTACCATTGAAAGTAAGAATTAATTACTCTTTTTATCTTTTATTCTATTAATTTTTTTTTTCCTTAAAATCACTTTTCTTCTTCTTTTTTTTTAGCTGATGACTACTAGCTCCCCTCCCCTCTTCCTGGAACTTTCTCTTTCACTCCAGCTTTCTTATTACATCCATCTTTTCTGTGGCGGGGCCAAAAAAGGAAACCAGGAGTGCCATTATGTTGACTTCTTACTCCTTTACATAAGTCTTCAAAACACAGCTCATCTAAAGAATGCCTTCTTTTCCACATGAACATCAGATTTATCACCTATTATGCAGTTAACAGTCGATAAAATGTACTTAATTGTGGGGTGGGAAATTACTCAATTATTCTATCAGAACCTATTTATAAAGGCTGTGTATTTCCCATAGATGTTTACAACAACTATGTTAAAAAAAAAAAACAAAAAACCTATGTACAATATATTATTTTGCATGAATGTCATGAGCCCTTTACACCTAAAATTAGGTTGAAATAGCTAATTAATTTGGAACCTATCAATTTGAGTGGGCTTTTTCTTTAGTAGTATATCATTTTGGTTGTTGTAGTTTCAAAGTCTTTCTGAAGCAGATATACTGGGATTGGAATGGTGGGGAGGAGTGATACTCCTTTCACAGGAAAGTTGGAGCATAGAGAAAAATAATAATTAAAGGACTTTTAAGAAACACTGCCTATACAGTGTTGAGTGTTGAGGATATTACACGTTATTTTTCAAACATATGTAATATATAAAGCAAATTTATGCTGTGATCTTGCCTGAACAGATATTTTAATGAAAAAACTTTGTATTAATAGTTCATGCAAGAGAAAACACTTTCAGCATAGTCCAGCATTTCATGATCTAAGTGTGTTAGATTTAAGGAAAAAGTGGCACAATCTTCAATTTAAAATTCTAGTCTTTAAAACAAGTTTGTAAATAATTAGCTATTATGTTCTATTAAGTTGTTTTATATTTTAATTTTCTGGAATACAATTTTATTTTACAATGTGAACTCAAATAAAGTAACTTCTGTATTTAAAAAAGTCTTATTTCTGTATTTTAAGACTTGTGCAACCAGATGTTACCCTTTATCATTAAAACTTTTTTTTTTTTTTTTTTTGAGACAGAGTCTTGCTCTGTCGCCAGAGCTGGAGTGCAGTGGTACAATCTCAGCTCACTGCAATCTCCGCCTCCCGAGTAGCTGGAACTACAGGCGTGCACCGCCACGTCCAGCTAATTTTCAGTATTTTTAGTAGACAGGGGTTTCACCATGCATTAAAACTTCTAAAAATCATCTTTTCTCACAGTAAACATTAAAAAAACCCCAGTCAACTAGAAAATTTTACCAATATATGTACAAAAACCACAAAGCACTCCCTTATAATATTCATCAATGTACATTTATTTATTGAGGAAACCATAATGAATACAAAATTACAGCAATGTGACCTTTTACATACAATGTCATAAAAGCAAACTCTAAACCACAGTTTGTAAAGTATTCAATTTACCTCAAGTCCAAGCTGCATCTCCCTAAGACACTGTTCCCATCACAGTAGCCATTTTAAGCCAATCTTCTTTTTACACACGGGTAGTTTCTGTAGAGAACATTTTTCTCAGGACGAAAATGCATCGAGCATGCATAAGAAAAAATATATATATATGTGCAAATACATTTAAGAGTTTTTTTCTATAGGGGTATCACTGAAGAAAATAAAACCCTGGGATTCATTTGCTTATTAAAAGCACCAATTGAAAAAATCCTTCAAAAGTTTATATTGTGACAAGAAAAATGAAGTCACTAACTCAACAAAAAATAAGGTTATTTTCAGAGCCAAAATTATCTTTAATTAGGTATTGTTAAAATGCATTTTAAAATGAGGCAGAATTTGCAGAAAATAAAAACAAGACATCCTCACTGACTAGTAAACTCTACATCATTATTCTACACAACAGATAACTTTCTAAGTAGAGCTGATTTTACTGGCAGAGTAATCAAACAAATAAAATGCTATCACTTCTGAATTACTCCCCTTTCCCTCTCTGAATGTACTCTGCTATTCCTACCCAACCCCACCCTTATGAATTAACTAACAAGATAATTTGTTTAAAGATATATTTTACAATGTTTAGAAACAACTAGTATCAAATTACTAGTTTTAGTATTAAAAGCATTTTTGATATTAAAAAAATAAAACTATACTTCTCATTTCTAAAAGAAACATCAAACCATAGAATTCTAAGTATCACCACACTAAGCTGTCTTAAAAAAATTAAAAACATTGTCAAATTTTGTTTAAGTGTTAAATAAGTCAGTTCAATTTCAGTCTAAACTAAACATTGTTTCTAACACTAATATCCAATGCATTCAAATCAACTGGCTCACCTTTTCTGCTTTCCATTTATTTCAAACTTAAGATCAGCGTCTTTTACAATAATGCTTATAGTATCAGTGAAGGCTTATGGTAATGAATAAAAGAATTCTTATGAGACAGAAACAATGCCCCAATATCTATTATCATTCATCTATCTGTATTTTTTTTTAATATAAAAATGCAATCTACGACTAACCAAACTCAACAGGCTCCTAAGTTTCAATGAGCCCCTTTAATTATCAATCTTATATACCTATCATTGACTATTAAAACATACATACACATAAATGTGTAGTAACTACGTAACTTAAGAAATTTAACAGTTCATGGAACATTTAAGATCAAGTGAATAGCACTTTAAAATGAAAAGTGATCAAAAGCAGGTACATTACACCCTATACCATATGTATGGGAATACATTTCATATTTCTCAATTATGATTTGCCAATTTTACCTTCTACATTGAGCCCTTCTATGGTCCATGCTCATCGGCTCACCAATGGCATACACTCAAAGGATTCCTCTTTATGGGTAACTATCTCAGGACCTGATTTTATGAGCTATGATTTGGTGCTTGCAGCATCTTCAGCACTGTGTGTGAAAATGAAGGCAGTATTTTTGAATATTTTTCTTTGTTGCAGAGATAAGCAGGAGTTTTAAAAGGATCAGCACATTTTAGAAATAGAATAAACAAAACTGATAAGATGCTGCTTTCATACATTCATCTTAACTCAAAATATGTACCAGTTAAAATCATCTATAAAAACACACAAACATTTTAAACTGGCAAAAAAAATTAAATTAACGCAGCGTCAGTTATTAAAATATTATTAAATCAGAAAAATACTGGTTGCTACAGATTATGAAAGGTTATTTGCTATACAGTTAACATTTCACTGATGCACATGCCTTTTATCAAAACATACTGCCTTATAACTTTTTCCTTTTTCAGCATATAACTTTTGTCTAAGAAAAAAACCATAATAAAATTCTAACCCATAATATCCTTACTGAATTATTATAGTTTAAGAATAAGAAAAAAAAAAATTAAGAAATTATAGCTTTGGAGGGCAAAGAAATTTTCTGTCAATCATATATAACAGATTGTGAAGGCTGTTGAAGTTTCTAAACAAGTGATTTTCTAAATCTTGAAAACTGTGTAATTGTCCTTTCTTAATCTTAACACTTCTATATTTGGGAAAAAAATACAAAAAGATTTGGATGTAGTTCAATTACTGCAGCAATCTACTCATCATTTTCTTGTTTTATATAAAAAAAAAAAAAAAAAAAAAGTAAAATAAAAAACATTACCCAGAAATGTAAACAGTTGCTTTAACAACTTACAGACTTTCCACTAAGATGGTAGCATAAAATAACAAAATACATTTTGGGGAAGCAGTAGCAGATTGCCTTTGAATACACAACCACAAAAACCTCACAGGGACAACATTAATGTACTGAAATATTTATTTATATATGTCCTTAGGTTGTGCTTACCTGGTGCTTTTTGCAGCAGAACCTAAGGTGGAAGATCTGGGAAGGCACTGTGAAGTATAAATAATTGCACTGTTTGCAATTAATAAAGATTTTAAACCTTAAATGAATAAAAGTCAACAGCCTCCAATTTGTGAGTTATGATACTGAATTCAACTGAACTACTTCTTCAGTTCAATTAATAAATGCACCACTTTCCTAAAAGGTCATCTATAAAACAGTATCATGCAAAACACTGCAATTGTTCACATCAATACCCTACTCTTAAAGATAATAGATAGCTAACTCCTTAACTATTAAACTTCAAACCAGAACTAAATATCCCAATCTAAATAAGGGTAAGGGAAATCACTCTAGGTCATATAAAACAATCAAAAACATTTCAAATATCTACAATGAACGGTACACTGTACTGCTATTTCCATTCTGTAGGTAATCTCAACATTTATGTCCTTGTATTTCTTCCTTTAAAGTATATTTGAAACAACAAATGGTGCTCCCCACCAATGACAAAATACATACTTATGAAATGTGTTAAAATTGCTACATTGCTCATTATTTGCAAACTGAAATCTCCTGTCTGATACATTTCAAGATTTTCATATTAAATATAGAAGATATGCATATTTTACACTGAAAATCAATATTGTAGGAGCACCAGTGAATAATACTATTCAACTTTGTTAAGTATCAGTTTTCTTTAGCTATAGCTAAAGCACATTAAAAAAAAAAAATACTTACCCATTAAGCTCACTTTAAAAAAAAATACAGAACTATGTATTATTCTATGTTAAATTAAGAAGCAGTTATGGTTTTCCAAGATATCAGCACTGTATTCCAACATAATATTCACACAAAGTATGGCATTTGCATTATGTGGAACATTGACAAAAAGATACTGTTGCAGTTCATCAATTTGTCATTCTGATGTACTTACAGTGCAATGCTCCTTGAAGGAACACAATCAAGGATGATACACAGCACAGTCCTCCTCACCCCTACAGAGCTAGTTCTATACTGGCTGGATCAAACCTGCACTTCAACAGACAATGGCAAGACAGACTGTATTTGCATGTAGTCTAATATATTAATATGCAAAGAGCCAACAAATATGCAAAGAGTAAAACAATGGATTTCAACAAAATATCAGAACTTCAGCATGAGTGTTAAAAGAGTAATAAAATGATTTCAAGTACATAAAAAAATTAAGTTGATTCAATGATTGGACTTGTGCATTTACAAAACAAAGCTTATCTATACTGCATAAAGAAAAAAAAAAGCTTGAACGTTTCCATACCCCATTTATGTTTCAATGGCAGATGCACTGTAGCTATACTTTTTGCACACTATTCACTTTTCTAGCCTAAATTTAGAAAGAAACACACTAATATTATATACATTGAAAGAGTTGCTTTACATGGAAAAAAAACTGTTCTTATTAGACTACTCATATTCACTATCTGTAAACTGTTTAAAATTAGTTATGCCGAAACAGTCTTGGAAATCAAGTATTATCAAATTAAGAACAGAAAGGTTAACTGTTATAGCAGCAGTACAGGTCTGAAACAGTGGTCACGTATAAAAGGAAATTTCACTGTTAATGCAATGGAAGTATGCCAAAAGATCATTGTACACACATGCAGTTTTTAATCAAACAGAAGGAAAAAAAATGAAGATATCAGGATTACTTGTGCTGAAAGAGCCAAATACAATAAATGGAAAGATCTTCCAATCTACCACTATACTGCAAGGGGGGAAAAACATGCCAGTGTTTAAAAACTCAATATTTCATGGGGAAAGCTTATATATTTGTGTATATGTATCTTAATTTATCATTGCTAAGAAATTATGAATCCTTTAAATACCCACATATCCAACTTACCGACACAGGAGGTTTCATATCATTTATTGTAAAGCACAAAACAGGCATTTTAAAAGTGAAAGTATACATTGAAAAAGTACATTTATATCACAAAGCATCAACCACATAATAATTGCAAATACATTTGCTGGAATGTGTACATCTACACTAAATACTAAAAACAAACCAATTTTCATTTCTACACAGAAATATTAACCTCCTATCAGTAGTGATAGATATTTTGTACATTTTCAAAAAAAAAAAAAAAAAAAAAAAAAACAAAAAAAGAAAACACTATTTTAAACCAAAAACAAAATTAAGATCTTCATCAAGTCGTCTGCATCCATATATTTAACAAAGGTTTTTTTCCCCCACACAATGAAGCAAATACTGTATTGTCCACTTCTTATTATTGGCCCTGTGCAGAAGAGATACATAAGAAATACACAAAAAGTTAAAGAAAATCCTTGAAATGGAGCTAATTCAGGAGTGAATCCTTTAAGAAAGAAAAACTGGTTAATATAAATGGTGGTGGCTTCTTGAATGATTTGCAAATCCCTGGGGGAAGAAAATTTATTTTTAAAATCAAAGGCAATGTAGTAATATTCAGCACTCAGATGCCGGAAAGCATTATTTTAAAAAACCCAAATAATACACCATAGTACTTCAATTCATTTAGATAGTTACACTTTGCCAGATAAAAATTTAAAAGGCAAACATACTCCCAACAGACGAACAGTAAACATGCAAAAAACATGACTGAAGTAGGAATCAACAAATTAGCAATTGTATTATACCTGAGGTGCTGGAGGATGCTGTGGCATTCCCTGGGGACTTGTCTGGGCATAGTAGGCTGCTTGTTGTCTATAATACTCAGCCCAAGCTGCACTATAATCTGGCTGACCACCTGGAGGAGCCCCAGTTGGAGCAGGAACTGCTTGACCTTCGAAAAAAAAAGAACTTTGTTGCTGTAACCACAATTAAAAGCCCAAAATAATCTCATTTCTAATAAAAACAATACCTTGCTTCTTGTAATATTCCTCCCAAGCCTTTGAATAATCTTGTGTCTGCCCTTGTTGACCTAAAAAAAACCCCCTAAATTTTAATACAAAATTGCATCCACTGTAAGTACAGGTTATAAGACAAAACCACAGAGAGTCAGAACTGCTCCTGTTTTATTTAAAATATTCATTAGTAGTGTCAGGAAACTACTCTGCCAAAAAAACAAAAAACAAAAAACCTCTTTCTTTTTGCCTTATAATTAATCATAACTTTTAGTTAGTTCTACAGCATCATTGTTAGTAAAAAACAAAATCAACCCCAAATCCACACTGCTTTAGCTAAGGAAGGTAAAAAATTTAGACGTAATCTTGATTCAATTCTAGAATTACAAAAAGAACATTTTTGGGGAAAAAAAAGCCCATTTATTATGGCAATGATTTAAAGACTTTATTATTTTAAGACCTAGCCAAGACTTTTTCCTGATTAGTAACCTATAAAGTTACCTATATATAAAATCTATATAGGCAACTTTATAGAAAACCTATATAACCTATATAAAATCTATATATATACACACAAAAACTAGTAATAAGGTGTTTAAAGTATTAATACTGTATTCCAATTACAACACAAAGTTATTAAAAGTAACCTGACATGGAATAAAGAACAAGATCAATGAAACTTAACTCAGCTTTCATGATCAGGTCTTTTTCCAAGTAGATTGACTTTGCTGAATTAAGAGAATAAATATAACAATGAAATACAATGGATGAATCTTAAATATAGTCTTTAAATAAACTATGGAATTTATTTTGAGAAAGGGTCTCACCCTGCTGCCTAGGCTGAAGTGCAGCAGTGCAATCACGGCTCACTGAGGCCACGACCTCCCAGGGCTCAGGTGATCCTCCCACCTCAGCCTCTAGAGTAGTTGGAACTATAGGCCCACCACACCTAGCTGACATTTTTCTACCGTTTTTTGTAGAGATGGGGCTTTGCCATGTTGTCCAGGCTGGTCTTGAACTCCTGGGCTCAAGTGATCCACCTGCCTTGGCTTCCCAAAGTCCTGGATTATAGGCGTGAACCACCATGCCCAGCCATTGAGTGTAATTAGAGCAAACTGTCTTGTCTGCAACTTACTTTGAAATGGTGCATACACAAAAAACATACATATAAAGCACATACGTCAAACTTTTAAAAAATGATGAAGATGAGTGGTGCCTTATTTCCCCAATTTCTGAAGGTATATAATTTTCTTAATAAAAAATCAAGAAGAGAGAATGTGTTTTCCTATTCAGTTTCTTTACTTGAGCACTATTTTATTTAGTTTGCAATTCACTTGGCTTTGTGAAATAATTACCATAGACAAAAATACTGGACCACTAACATACAGGAAGCCGTTTTTATGTTTGTAGGATGTTGCCAATAAGACCAATTTCATAGTTTCAGAAAGTAGTCTATCACCATTGTAAAACAGGTCACAGAATCAAAGCAACTGAGTGAATAAGAATTTAAGACTTTAAAAATGATTCTTTAAAAATGCATGAAAAAACACTCTTCTTGGGTAACAGAGAACTCTCATATACTATTAAAAATTCTCATATTTTCCTGTTTTCTATAAATAACTCTTAATTCAAGCAAATCTGAAACAGGTTTAAGTATTTTAAAAACTGCCAAATATCCCAGTGAAACAACAGAAATAAAACCATATGTCTTCTCTTATAAGCTGCACACTTGAAACCAAACCTGATCAAGGTAGCAATTGTAAGAGTTACTCATTTTAAAGGCAAATTAACAATTTAAGATGGCAGAAACAGGCATATGCATCTAGAAAATTCATCAATGTTCCCTTAAAAAACAATAGCCCCTGCAAACTCCTATATCCCTGTGGCAAGTTAATAGTAAATACTTTAGACTTTAGAAAGAAATACTTTAGACTTTAGGAGAAAAACCAAATACTTGGTAGATAAGTTGTCAATATTTCAAACTCCAATCTTAAAAGATGTTCAAAAAAAGCTCATTTCACTCTTTCAATATAAAGGGCAAATGTGATTTATTTTGCTCAGCTGAAGTAGAGAAAGAACTCTTTCCCTGTCCCTTCAAGCATGTACTTCCTTTCCTTGCTCCCCTTATTCCTCTCTTTAGTTACTAGATTTTTTTTGTTTTTGTTTTTGTTTTGAGACAGGGTCTTGCTCTGTCACACAGGCTGGAACATAGTGTAGTGATGCGATCATGCCTAAGTTACTGTTTGATGCCAGATAGTTCAATCTATACTTCAGTTGAACATTATCTAATATTTATTAGTTTAAAATAATGTATATAGTTTAACCTTAGAGTTCTTTCATCCAAAAGAAAAGACTTGCTCTAGAGTTACCTTGTAAAATTCTATTAGAGCCCAAGAGCCAGTCTTGCTTGAATAGAATTTCACACTCAGTTGTCTTCCTATACACCTGCACCTTTCCCACAAATCCTCACTCTCCCCTCTTAAGGTACCAGATTCTTAAGGGTTCAGAGTCTACCACAACAGTCCTTATCATAAGGGCCTTCCTTAAGTCAAACTTTTCCCAAATGTCTTTACTTCTCCTCCAAAAAAGAATTACTCCTTGCTACTTTGAAACCCTGTTTGTTCTCTTAAGGGTCTCTTATATATTCCAGCGTCAAAAACACTTATCTCTAGATTGCTGCCTTTCCTTATAACTCCCTTTTTAAACTCTGAAATCTTATCAAGATTTTCTCTACTTGGGAGGCTGAGGCAAGAAAATTGTCTGAATCTGCAAGGCAGACACTGCAGCAAGCTGAGATCGTGTCACTGCACTCCAGCCTGGGTGATGGAGTGACTCCGTGTGGAAAACAAATATTTCTTGGTTTGGTGTTATCCTGGGGAATTTAGAATTGTTTTAAAAAATAAAACTAATTTTGGAAAATTTAACCCACATCCAGTTTCAATAGTTTTTTTTAAATTTTTTAGTAAATAAGCAAATGACACATAAAAGTCTATAAATGGAGTTTTCTGTTTTTAACAAGGAAAACTGAAATTAGGCTCCAAAAGCTGCGATAGCCTGCCAAGTGTAACGAAGAGGGCACCAGGATGAGGAATGAGGAAATCTAAAGTCCTAGAAAATCCTTCCTCTGCCACTGGAATAGTCAGTAACAGAGTTGGCTTTGAAATAAAGATGTGTATCTCCCTATTTTATTATTCCCTTTTTCCTTCCATTTAAGAAATGTGCAGACTGAACCAAGTTTTAAGCTTTATGGTTTCTTATTTGTGGTAAAAAGATCCTGATGATAGGTAACGTACCTAGAAGAAATTAAAGCAGTTGAGCAGCTGATCATTTACAAGAAGAGCTTTTATAGAAAAAGACAAATTGACCCCGTAGCTAGCATAATGACAAATGCTCATCAAGAACCTGACTAAATTACCTAGCATTATCTTCTTTATAAGATATACATATGAGGCCAGGCGCAGTGGCTCACATCTGTAATCCAAGCACTTTGGGAGGCTGAGGTGGGAGTTCAAGCACTTTGGCTCACCTGAGGTCAGGAGTTCAAGACCATCCTGGCCAACATGGTGAAACCCCATCTCTACTAAAAGTACGAAATTAGCTGGGCATGGTGGCGGGCACCTGGAATCCCCGCTACTCAGGAGGCTGAGGCAGAAGAATCACTTGAACCTAGGAGGTAGAGGTTGCAGTGAACCAAAATTGTGCCATTGCACTCCAGCCTGGGTGACAAAAGCAAGACTCCATCTTTAAAAAAAAAAAAAAAAAGATATACATACACGAGGGACTCCATCTTAAAAAAAAAAAAAAGATACACATACATGAGCAAAACTGCCCTATTTTGCTCATAAAATTAACAGGGTAAAGGTGGGTGCAGTGGTTCATGCATGTAATCCCAATAGTCTGGGTGGGTGGATCACCTGGTGTCAGGAGTTTGAGACCAGCCTGGCCAACATGGTAAAACCCTATCTCTACTAGAAATACAAAAAATTAGCTGGGTGTGGTGGTGGGCACCTATAATACCAGCTACTTGGGAGGCTGAGGCAGGTGAATTGCTTGAACCCAAGAGGTGGAGTTACAGTGAGCTCAGATTGTGCCACTGCACATCAGCCTAAGTGAGAGAGTGAGACACCCCTCTCAAATAAATAAATAAAATTAACAGGTGATTATTGTGGTATTACAGAAAATCACACGACAGGAAAAGTGGGGTAACGAGGTTCTTTAGTCATACAGCATTATTATGCAGTAATATTTAATTAAGTTATTTCTATGCCACATTTTCCCACAAAGGATTCAAAACCATCTAGCATAGTATCTCTAACTGGCAGGGAAATGGTAAAAAAATAAAGACAAGGTGAAATGTCTTCCCTTAACAATAAAAATTAAAATTCAACACACCTACTCAGTTTTAGCAAGTAAAAGGTAAGAAGACTAAACAGTAAGCATATTAATGGCCACATTACAAATAATCAATAAGGTAAAAAAAAAGCACAGAACCCAAACTCATTCCTCAGTAATTAACTAAATCCATTAACAGGCCTTTGTTTTTACCTACTTAATAATAACTAGGCACATATCTAGGCACCATTACCCACTGAGAAAATAGAAGTTGAAGCTAATGATTTTTAACCTCAACATGTGACCAGGCCTCACTACGCTGCCAAGGTAGTGGGCTCAAGGGATCCTTCCATCGTTAGCCTCCCAAGCAGCTGGCGCCACTGCGCATGGCTCATGCCGAAGTCTTTTAAAATGGTAATGTTATTTCATTAAAGTTAAGTTGATTAGAGGTCCTGACCACTATGTTGTCAGGGCATGATTAATAGCATCCTTGTTCATTCTAAAAAGGATCCCAGGTCAGAAAATAAATTATGTAACCAACCTTAACCAGAGTATGCTGTTTTTAAGTTGAAGGTTTCTTTTTGCAGAATTTTAGCTACTACAGATCTGCCTAAGCTAGGTCAGACAAACATAAATTAACCTGTTACAGCCTCAGAAATAGAAGGAGCATGATTCTCCTAAAAAGCCATTCTAAGAGGAAAAACATATTTTTCTTTCTTTAAAAAGAAACCAGTTATGCAGAACATTGTTATCACCAGGGATATGTAATTTTACACCTAGAAGATTAAAATCATCACCCTTCTAGAAATTTTTCTGTGGAAAAACATTGTTTGGCAAAGAAAACATTGAAATTTACAATTTACATTGAGAATCACAAGTAGACCATTATCTTATGACAAAACTCTACCTATAGATTCTTTTTCTGCTAGTGAAGGATAAGGCAGCTTTACCAATTTAGCTTTCATTTGTGACATCTAACTGTAATATGTGATAATTTTAAATAACTAAGAGCAAAAGCAGCTGAAACATAGTGATCTGTCCAGAAATATAGTATCAGGTTCCAAATGGTCCCTAAACAGACAAATTTGTGATACAAGCTTGGGAAGCAGACCCACTTGGAAGCCAAATTCTGGTTCCATCACTTAGTAGTTTTGCAGCTAAGTTTTGTACTGTTTCTAATCTGTATATGTGAAATATCAGTGAAGATACAGTTCTCTTCCTTCACAGCAGTTTGTAGTTTGCAAATTACTTAACAAACGTACCCACCCCATTAGCATATGATACCTGAAAGGGCAGTACTCTTAGCCAATATGCCCATAATTGTAGTCTCAGCATCTATCACTATGCTTGGCATGTAGTATATGCTATATAGTAGCTGAAAGAATATGCAAATGTTAAGTAATTTACTTTACACCAATGCAGGTTAATTCTTACCTGCTTATTCTGCAGCAAAAATAATGGTATCAGACACAATCAATTTTTGCTTGACACACTAAAATCTAACCTTATGCCATTTAGACTAATAATATATATAACTGTCATTGTCAAAAGTATTGTAATGTCCAATATTGTATGCGCCAGTGAGGACATTTCTAGTTCCAATTAATAACTGTTTGACAAATGCAATTAGAAATAAAAAGACTTCCTTGCTATGTAAACACAAATTTAAAACTATCATTTGCAACTGTCTTGATACGTCTACAAGTCCAGTGATTTTATTCAATTATTCTCTTCCGGAAGGTTTTAAGAGTTAATAAATGGATGAAAGTCATCTAAGGTAATACGAATATGCTTTTAACAAATCTCCAACATTCTAATGTATATTTGTTAAGCGTTTCAACCTAATTATGTATTTTCAAGAAATGTATAAAACATACCCATTTTCTTGTAGTATTCTTCCCAAGCCTTAGTATAATCAACCTGTCCAGCTGGGGCTGGATTCTGCTGATCTCCTTGTTCAAGCAAAACAAAAAAAAGAACGAAATTAAAGTTTTTAAAAGGCAATTTTAGGCATTTTCTTCTGATCCTTGGGTGTAGGAGCTGGCAGGTGCCTGCGATGTGGCAGTGAGGGTACGAAGGAGGTACTCTGCAATGCCAAAGATAGAATGTACTGGGGGTACAGAGGTGGTGGACAGAGAAGAAAACCAAACTATCTGGATGACTGGTTATGCTGAACATATAAGTAAATGTCTATCAAATAAGGGAATACACTGAGGATACCAGGTTTCTCACCATTTCTAAGTACAAAAAAGGAAAAGGCTTGAAAACCCCAAAACGCTGAAATGGATGTGGTGATATGAACATAGTTTTAAAAAACATATACAGATATCAATGTTTATGTATTTTTTGGTATGTATATGTGAGTATGCATGTATGTAAATATATTTCCTGGCTCTGTTGAAAGAAGCTAGAAGCAATGACACCTCAGTAGCAACAAGCATACTCAGTCTTGCTTCGAACCACCATTCTACTAAAAGGAATCAGAACTCCTTGAAGCAATGGCTGACTCAAGGGCTGGAGCCCAGAAAGCAAAAAATAACAATCTTACTGTGCCAGACAGTAAAGTGCTTACAAGAATGACAGGTATTTCAAAAGGATATAGGCACCACCCTGAATATACTCCCTGACTGGCCAATTCAGGATAATCTGATTATCAACATTATAAATACTTTAAAAATATAACCTATTGCAAAAACCAGAAATCCACAATGATGCAAAGAATATACCAAATTGATTTACTGATTTGGAGGTCTGTATGATGGTTATATATTTTTGAAGAAGTACCCAATAGGGCATCATGTCTACAGTTTGGTCTTAAATGAATTTCTTTCAGAATTAATTATACTGGATATAATTAGTTTCCTTCAGAACTAATTGTAATGGATAATTTAAACAAATACACACAGACACAGATATATGATATAGATGGTAACAATAAACAAGGGGACAAAACATTAACAGCTGGGCTGTCTGGGTGCTCCTGGAATTGTTCTTACAACTTTTATGAAAGTCTGAATTTTTTTTTTTTTGAGACAGTGTTTCACTCTTGTTGCCCAGGCTGGTGTGCAACAGCAAGATCTTGGCTCACCCAACCTCAGCCTCCAAGGTTCAACTGATTCGCCCGAGTAGCAGGGACTACAGGCATGTGCCACCATGCCTGGATAATTTTTTTATTTTTAGTAAAGACAAGGTTTCACCGTGCTAGTCAGGATGGTCTCAATCTCCTGACCTTGTGATCCACCCGCCTCCGGCTCCCAAAGTGCTGGGATTACAGGCGTGAGCCACCACGCCAGGCTGTAAAGTCTGAAATTACTTCCAAGCAACAATTTAAAAAAGGAAAAGTCTGCTTCAATCATAATTAAATAATGTTAGAAATTTTATGTATTATACAGTGATCTACATCATACACAATTCCAAACACAAGTTTTGACTTTCACATATAGTAAGTTCTTTAGTTACCTTGTCCATTAGTTTGAGTTGTAGTTGGTGCACCTGCAGGGGCTGCTGGTGGTGGCTGTGCTTGCTGTTGGTAATAGTGAGCATAATAAGCAGCCCAAGCTGCTGAATTTGGATCCGTTCCTGCCTTAGCTAGAATTAATAAATGAAAGTTCAAGATTTGCTTGTGAAGTCTGTAATTCTCTCTCTCTCTCTCTCTCACACACACACACACACACACACACACACACACACACACACACACACACACACGGCTCTCTGGCAAATACACAGTCCCCAAAATCAACTAGAACATTTAAAAAAGTAAATTAAAACTTTTAAATTTTCTATTATTTTTGTTGTCACCATCAGCTTTTATTAAAGAAAACCAAGGCTCAGAGATCAAGTGACTTTCCTAGGTTAAAAAACTACTGAGTAGCATAACTGGGATGTGAATAAAGGTCTTTTGGCTCCAAATCCAACGCTCTGTCTCAAACCATCCCGTGCCCTTGTTTTTTTCTAAACTGGTTGGTTTCGCCTCAAGCACAAACAGCTCTATTTGGCAGATGACTAAAGAAAAACAATTCTAGGGGCTAACCTGTATGAGAAAGAGACAATTATTTTAGAACAATAAACTTTGTCCTTATTTTCAATGAAAATATAAAAATCTTAAAAAAAAAAAGGATTAGCCACATTTCATCCTATTTCACATTGAATGTTATCAACTTGATATTATCCTACTTGAAATTCTTGATTCTCTAGAATCTTCACGATAGTCAAAGCTTAAGTATAGCCTATCATTCAGCATCTTTAACAGTCTAAACCCCCTGGCTTATCCTTTGAATTTCATCCTCATCTCTCCCTGTCGTATCTCTTCAACACCCAAGCTCCAGCCACAACACAGTGAGTGTACTTTTCAGAAATCACTATGCCCATGTCTAGGCTTTCAGCTATGTTATATTTCCTCTACACTGGACTGACCCTCACTTATCTCCCACATCAACTGATTTATGAACAGTTTGAGACCTCTCAATCTTCTAGAAACCAGAAATAACTTGATTCTGTCCTTTATACTAGGAATATCATACAATTAGGACTTTTCAATTTTCTACTATGTCTTCATTACAAGGTAATATAATTACAAGGTGTTATTAGGACACCCTAAAAAGCTTTTCTCAATTGCCCAATGTACTGCTTTTCTATGTTCAATGTTTATATATCTCAAGTGTCATTAAATATATATATATTTAGGTAGATATATTGTATATATGTATATATATTTATGACAGAGTCTCACTCTCTCACCCAGGCTGGAGAGCAGTGGTTCGAACTCAGCTCACTGCAATCTCCACCTCCTGGGCTCAATCAATTCTCTGCCTCAGCTTCCTAAGTAGCTGGGATCACAGGTGCCTGCCACCATGCTCAGCTAATTTTTGTATTTTTAGTAGAGACAGGGTTTCACTATGTTGGCTAGGCTGGTCTCCAACTCCTGACCTCAGGTGATCCACCCACCTCACCCTCCTAAAGTGCTGGGATTACAGCAACATTAGGTGTGAGCCACAGCACCCGGTCATTATCTGTATATTAATCAAGAAATCTAGGCATTTCACTTGACACAATGCCTGGATAAAGAATTTGAGATAAAACAGACTTTAGGGAGTGATATTTCTACTCCCAAATGTGTAAACCACACAAAAAAACCAGTCTCAGTTATGACTAACTAGTATGTAGTAAGAATTTACTAGATATTCACTTAACCCAAGATTCATTTATCACCTTATAGATAAGAAAACGAAAGCTTAGAGGAGTTCAAAAACTTGCTTGACATTCTCACAATTAGCAAACTGTAGGACTAGGACTGATCTAGGTCTATATGACTCTGAAGTCTAAATTCTGGACCACTACACACAAATTCTTAAGACTTTTTTTGAAAAAAGTTTTAGTTCAGGTAACTATTAAAAGATTACATTATTCTAAAAAAAAAAAGATTACATTATTCTAATACAAGCAATACCTACCGCAGAGACCCGGTAATCCTTTGGTAAATCTGAGCTGGGCCAGCCAGCTGGTTTTAGTTAAATGGGTTACTTCTTACCCAAAGACCATGTTGCAACCACATTCACTGACCAGCTTCTACAGTGGTGACTTCACTACTACTCCCAGTGAGAAACTCAACTTGCGATACAGAGACCACTTCCAATTCTTATTCCCATTATTTTTTCCTCAATCATGCTACCTATCCAATAGTGCTCAAAGACACAATCCTGGCAGATCCAAGTTACCCAATATAAATCTGCCCCTTAACCTACTTAAACTCTTGAATCTCATTACTAGCTTACATATACTATCCCAATTAGCTGATATCAGGGAAAGAAAAGCCCTTTCATTCTCCAAAAATTATTATATTCTGTACTCTGTGAGCCCTTCTATCATAGTGTTGCTTATGCTGGGAGTGCATTCTTTTGCTATAGAACACAATCCCAACTTTGCATACTCATATCCTAGCACAACTCAAGTTGTTCCTTGAATTAATGGAAGTTGTGGTTATTTGGTAACTGCCATGACATCATATTTCACACAGCACCCTTCCTATGAAGTTAACAATCAGGCAATTTCCTTTAATTCCTTCAAGTTTTTTTAGGGATGAACATATGTGTAGAAAGTAATCCATAATTGAGTATACCTTCCTTGAAACTACTCCAGTGAAAGAGGTCTAAAAAGTAGGTAACAGGTGGGAAAAAAAGGATCATAAATAAATGTTAATTGGTTTCAAAGAATGACTCTTTGACAAAGACGGAAAGCAAACTACAGGGTATGGAAAAATGCAAGAACAGAACAGGATATGATATATATGCAGAATCCAGATCTGAATATAGAAAATAATTACATGTATTTGAGTTTTAGCGTGCAGTTATTAAACACAGGCCTGATTTTTACTCACATGAAGTTGTCACATGAGGAGTACTAGAAGAGACAGTTTATCTTACTTGACAATTTGGAAGTTTAATGCACAAATACTTAACACTCTGTTAGACTGTAACATATATATATATATATTTTTAAAGAGATGGGGTCCCATTCTGTTGCCCAGGGGAGTGTAGTGGTGCACCTACAGCTCGCTACAATCTAGTACATCGAGGCTCAAGCAATCTTCCTATCTCAGCCTTCTGAGCAGCTGGAAGTATAGGTGCGTATCACCCTGCCCAGCTAACTTAAAACAAATGAGATGGATCCTGCCATGTTGCCTAGGCTGGTCTCAAGCCTCAGCCTCAGTGCCCAGCCCCTATCACATAATTTTGTAAGGGTAAAAACTATTTTTTCATAGATAATGCCACAATTAATACACTACACATTTGACATCACTGGTTTCTAAAACCTACTGCACCATACTCTTTCCGGTAGTTTTTAGCTTTTAACATTTTGCTATATCAACTCATAAGAAAGTCAAATGCAAGCAGAAAGAAGTTCCATAAAAGCAAAGATCATATACATGTCAGTCCTCTACACTGAGTTGGCGGCAGTGCCTAACACTGTTGAAAGAGTAGAGTGAAGGTGATGCATACAAATGTAGACTACTAGAAAATTTAATAATGTAACAGGAGTGGGAAATAATACAGGTAACACACAAATGATAAGCATCTTTTACCTGGATCAGGAGGAGCCTGCTGCTGCCAGTGTGGATATGCATTTCCCCATCCCTGAGGGGCATATGGGGCTGGGGGACCACTGAAAAGAAAAATCAGTATAAAAATACAGTCCATAAACGAGAATCTTTGGGGAAAAGCCCAGAACTAAACCCAATACTTACTGAGGAGCTGGGCCTGGTGGTCCTGGATTATAAGGTGCAGGGTTGTATGGTCCCATTGGAGTTCCAGGCCCTGGAGGCCCAGGAGGCCCATGGGGGCCTGGGACACCATGGGGCCCATGGGGTACAGGTGGCCCTAAAGGATTTACTGGGCCCTACAGAAAAAGGAAGACATAGGAAAATCAGCAAAACACAGTAGTGGTTAAACAACTCTATGGCCAAATAATCTTCCATTTCTACCCTCTTATATTCACAAACAACAAATTTTAGGTTTTCCCTCCTTTCCTCATTCATTTTTCAAAACCTATTTTATCTGCCATAATAATGAGACATGTAAAATTTACTAAAATCAACGGTAGCAATTAAGTACAATTTAAATTAAATTCAAATTAGCAATTAAATTTCCTTTAGCTTGTTTGTGAACAGCAGTAGTTCCCTTTCTTTTTATAATTCTCACTTTTACTATCTCTTTTTCATTTTAATCACATAAATCAGGTCCTTATCTTCAGCTCTTCTCTCTATATCTACTCACCTAATATGAGCCAACTATCTTGACAATATATATTCCCAAACTGCTTGGGTCTTCTATCAATTGTCTTCTGAACACTTCACTGATAATGTGGCAGCTAGCTGGTTCACTATCAAACTAAAATCCACCTCACAACCTTTTTCTGTCACTGGAACCCCATTTAGATCTGTAATTTATATTCTTTTTGGCTTTTCTGGTATCACAAATTTTAATAGCACAAAAAATTCCCTTTTTAATTTATTCAACAAATCAGGGTACTTTACATCCTTATCATGCATGCAGGCCACATCATAATTAATAATGCTTAACCGATTTCTGTTTTGTTAAGCCAACTTGCAAAGACATTACATTTAACTGTCCTAAAATGCTCCGAGTAGTAAATACAACCAGGTGATATGTTGGACAAAATGCTAACACTACATTTCGTTGTCAATTTCTCACTGCAAAATAGGGAAACTAAACTTCATGACCTTTAAAGTTATTTTTATTAACTTGTCTCTTTAAATATCCAATTGCTGTCACCTCTCACTTATTAACCATGACCTATTCTTTCCAAGTAGTGAAAATAACACTGAAAAAGTAGCAACATTTTTTAGGGCTATGTGCCATTCTTTTAAGTGATACACACATGAACATTCATTTAATCCCTACAACTCTATGAAGTAGATACTATTACTCTCATTTTACAGAAGTAAATCAAGGCACAGAAAAGCATGAATAAACTACAAAGTCACATAGCCAGTAAATGATTCATAAGATTTTAAACTCAGGCAACCCGCCTCCAGAATTCATGCTCTTTACAATCATACTAAATTACTTCTTTAAAACAAGCTATCTTGTTTCTCCATGAGTCCAACAGAAATACTGATCCATGCATGTGAGGCTAATCAAAATCCAAGATGTGCTACGCACTCTTTGCCATGGCATCAACCTCTATCATTATTCCATAAACACTCCATTTTTTGAACAATTAAAATAACTGTCCATACAAAAGAACTTACAACTTTTGTGTATATTTTGTAAGATGTTCCTTACATGTCTTTTGTACATCTATTTTTGTCTTCCCAAGTAGACAGAAACAGTATCAAACTTGTTTTGCACCCCATTTACAACATGGCAAATATCAAAAAGAATTTTCCTAGGAAATTCTGATTATTAATAATTTAAGACGCTCCCTGTACACTTTGTGTTAAAAATCCCAGTAAGATACCATCTGCTTCATTTACAAAAAAGCAGTCAAAGCTTTTCATACTTTTTTGTTCTAACAGAAAACTTTTAGAGAAAAAATTTCCACATTTGGCTGTGCATCAGAATCACCCAAACATCTATGTAAAATTAGATGCTGGGCCCTATCCCAGACATTTTGTCAGGTCTGTCTCTATAAATTATGTGTAAGAGTAAGAAGCCCCCAATTGTCTACATTTTAAACCACAGAAAATTTATGAGCCAGTCCAAAAGCTAGGATTTGTGAATTTCTACTGTAGAGTGGGAGATGCATCTGATTTATCTTGTTTGCTTCACTGGGGTTCAGTATAGTAAAACCTTAATAAATAATGAATTCCATTAGCTATTTCCTTCAAGTATGTTTCACAATCCTACACCAACAATATCATCATTCCTGCAGGTAACACTACCCTCTCTTATCTACCAACACCCAAATGTAAGGTTGTTCTCAAAACCTGTAACTGCATATTTAATAACGTGATTTTCATTGCTAAAAAATCTACATGTTGTATGTATCAAAAAATCTACAAATGCAGACTAATATTTATACATTTTCCTTTGATGTATTTGAATAAACATCTTATTTAACTACAGTCTATGGGTCTATGCTATAAATTTAAAGTTTAGCCTGCAGACTGGAGTCGAAGTCCGTGAGTCAGCCATAATGGCAGATGAAGAAATTAATGAAGACTATCCAGTAGAAATTCACAAGTATTTGTCAGCCTTTGAGAATTCCATTGGTGCTGTGGATGAGATGCTGAACACCATGATGTCTGTTTCTAGAAATGAGTTGTTGCAGAAGTTGGACCCACCTGAACAATCAAAAGTGGATTTGGTTTCTGCATACACATTAAATTCAATATTTTGGGTTTATTTGGCAACTCAAGGAACGTCCAGTAAAGCAGGAATTGGAAAGAATCAGAGTATATATGAACAGAGTCAAGGAAATAACAGACATGAAAAAGGCTGGCAAGCTGGACAATGGTGCAGCTTTAAGGTTTGTAAAAAATGCTCTCTGGGAACCAAAACCGAAAATCGCATCAAAAGTTGCCAATAAAGGAAAAAGTAAAAGTTAACTTTTTGATTTTGATGTATGCATATTCAAAAAGTACATCATTTGTTTCCACAAAAGAATTCTGTGACAGTGCAAGGTTTAAATGTGTTTCTTATTGAATTTATATATATATATATATTTACAGTAAATTTGTAAAGCTGAATACTTTCCAAAGATTGTTATCTTTATTGATTTGCACTATGAGGATTTAAACACTGTGATATATTTTATATTTATAATTTGCCATCTCTTTTGATGAGACTCATTTCTTTATGTAGGTCAATCTTGCAAGAACCATTTTATAAGCAACTGTGAAATTTAAGTAAAATGTTCTTCGTAAACATTTGTATTAATTTAAATGAATAATGACCTTATGAAGTATGCTTTCTGTAGACTGAAATTATAGGTATATCTGTTTTCACTATATGACATTAAGAAAGCATGAAATGACCTAAATGTTCATTGTTTTCTGTATAGTTACTTTATAATGTTTTCATGATCTTAGGAATTACTGCTTTGTTGATATTCAGAGTGTGAAACTAAAACTTTATAGTTGTACTTTAATTCTTGGCATGTTGCCTTATGTCCCATTTAAAATAAAATACATTCTCATTAACTGTAGATGGGAAATAAGGTTGTATGTTGATGGATAAATTTTGGCATGATGACTATACTCTCTCAATAAAGGTTGAAAGTGTTAAAAAAAAAAAAAAAAAAGTTTAAAGCACACTCACACCAATCTTTTCTTCTATGAGTTGCCGAGCATAGTCTATCTGTTGTGGAGTGCCACGAATTGTAAATAACTTCATGTTAGGATCTGCATTTGGTGGAGGATTTCTCTGAAGTTCTATTCTTGCACCAGACTGTTGGCTTATGCTTTTTATGGTTTCACCTCCTAAAATAAAAAGACAGTAATTCCTCTAAAGGTTTCGAGGATATACTGGGTGCTATTTAGAAGAAAATGGTCACAATTAAATGGGCTATTAAAAATACGGTTTGGTCAGTATCCTACTTGACAATATTCTATTAAGATTTTTCATTTAATAGTCTACACTTTAAATTTTAGGAAGCATTTTATGCTTCTCTTAAAATACATTTACTTAGTATGTTTATACAAAGCCTTAATGTGATTGTAACAAAATATATGAATAAACTGCTTTTAAAAGCAGTGTAAACATAAACTAATACAATTATAAACATTTGAATTTTAAAAATACAAGTCAGGAAAAATAAAAATGCACAAACAAAAACACTCAAATCACTTTTTGGGTCAAAAGACATTTCTTACATTAATAATTGCCTCTCAGTCCCCTTTCTCTAGAAGGTAGTAAGGTTAAATTCCTGCTCTTTTCATAAATATACATGTGAAACTTGTTTTACATGTATATTTCATCTATGTTTTACTTGTTACACATGAACATAAGAATGCTTTTCGGCTAGGTGTGGTGGTTCATGCTTATAATCCCAGCACTTTCAGTGGCTGAGGCCAGTGGATCACGACGTTAAGAGTTCAAGACCAGCTTGGCCAAAATGGTGAAACTAAACATGGTCTGTACTAAAAATACAAAAATTAGCCAGGCATGGTGGTGGGTGCCTGTAATCCTAGCTACTTGGGAGGCTGAGGCAAAGAATTGCTTGAACCCAGGAGGCAGAGGTTGCAGTGAGCCAAGATCACACCATTGCATTCCAGCCTTGGTGATAGAGTAAGAATTTGTCCTCAAAAAAAAAAAAAAAAAAACCAAAAAGCTTTTCTACTAATATACAGCCAGAGAAAACACATTGCCACTTGTTTACAACAAGTGTCCAGAAAAATAAATGTGTTAAATATTAAGAGTTTAAAATACATTGCCTTTTCCTATTATTAATCCAGTCTTCCCAGTTGGCACAATAAAATTAAATTCCTGTAGTCCACCAGGTGGTCCCATGTTCCAGTTGCCTTGACCTCTACCTCTTCCTCGACCACCAGGTCCGGGTCCACCAGGATTACCAGCCTATAGACGGAAAGATAAGAAAGAAAGAAAATCAGCACAGAAATACTTCTTTTAAAGATGAACTGGCCCAAATGATCATAAGTAATAATATGTGTAAAAATACAAGAGTAAATAAGGTAGCACTTAAAGCAGTACTTCTTCCTGCTCCAAGATCTTTACCTTAAAGCAATTCAAACTTTCTCCATTAATAAAGCATCATGAAGTAGACTCTGATATAGAGGAAACCTCAGATTTGATGAAGGAAAATACTTTTCCATGAAAACAAAAAATGAAAACGTTAACTTTCTATCAAACCTGAACACTTCGAAGAAGGTCTGTAATAATTTCTGCAGCATGTTGACATCGGTCTGGAGGTCCTGTTATTTGTGCTATTCTATCAGGTGTTGTCCCATCATCTTCGAAACAAAGAAACAAAATCAAACAATAAATGTATGTCAAAACTAACTGCTGCAACACTTACATTATTATGTGTACTCACCTGGCTTAAACTGAATTCGAACACCAGCATCATTTTGAATTTTTTTGATCATCTCTCCATTTCTTCCTATTACAATGCCAACAGCAAATCTCGGGATGGGGACCTTATGTAAAAAAGACTAAGTGTTAAGACAGCTGGCTTCTCAGGATTCAAAGTTAAAAAAAGGATAAAAAATAGCCATTTCCAAGGCCGGCCATGGTGGCTCATGCCTCTAATCCCAGCACTGTGGGAGGTCGAGGTGGGCGGATCACAAGGTTAGAAGTTCAAGACCAGCCTGACCAAGACGGTGAAACACTGTCTCTTTAAAAAAAAAAAAAAAAAGCCATTTCCAGAAAATCTGCCTCAAATCATAAAAGTACATACAATGCTATATTTATAGCAAATAGGGTAATAAGAAATAAAATATAGAATTCTGTATTCTCAAGTACAAAGGAGAAATAAAAGGATACAATGTTAGAGAAAGCCACTTAACACAAAATAGAAAGCACTATTATATTTATGTATATTTATGAATTAGCATACAACCATTTCTGAATGGGTATTTTTACTTACGTCTATCCCTTCATTTCCTCCTATTCTTGACCCATACTCATTCCGAACTTCTCTGAAACCACCTTGATCACGAATTAACTCTAACACCATTTCCTTGGCTTGCTAAAGTAGAAAAAGTTAACTAATTTAGAAAGAGTGTCTCAAAACATTTTAATTATACATGCATATTTTGCCCAACCCCATTCAACCCAACTCCTTCTTTATAAAATATAAAGTTAAGTTTACTTGAACTTTATATGGGTCTCCTGTAATTCTAAGAGGTTTGTCAGCACCAGTGTTCTGAGGCCCGTCTTGGATCATAACCATTTTAACTCCAGCCCGTTCCTGTTATAATCATAGAAATAATATATATTAACAAAAGAGAGTGGAAGAAAATGGTCATCAAAACAGACCAAAAATAACCACTTTACAAACATAACCATACCTGAAGCTGTTTAATAGTTTCTCCCCCCTTTCCAATGACTAATCCTGCCTTGCTAGCTGGAATCATGATTTCTTGCACTGCATTTCCCGGTCCATCACCATGATGGAAGCCAGGAGCTGGTCTTCCTTTTTCAACAATCTGATCCAGTAACCGTTTTGCCGACCTGTTAACATATTTGAATAGTAAGTTGTAGCATATCTAAGCTCATTCAAATAGAGAAATATAAAACAACATAACCAAGTACTCCTATACCAATTATGGATTAGGTGCCTTAATGCTAACTTTAACAATGCTTTTACTTTAAAAATTTTTTTTGAGATGGAGTCTCACTCGGTCACCCAGGCTGGAGTGCAGTGGCACAATCTTGGCTCACCGCAACCTCCACCTCCTGGGTTCAAGTGATTCTCCTGCCTCAGCCTCCCAAGTAGCTGGGACTACAAATGCGTGGTACCATGCCCAGCTAATTTTTGTATTTCAGTAGAGATGGGGTTTCACCATCTTGGCCAGGCTGGTCTTGAACTCCTTATCTTGTGATCCACCCACCTCAGCCTCCCAAAGTGTTAGGGTTACAGGTGTGAGCCACTGTGCCAAGCCAACAATGCTTTTACTTTTAACTGAAAAATTTTCTAGATATACAATTTTTATTTTTAAGAGCAGTCCAAAATTTCCAAGAAAGAACATTCTAATGCTAAAGTTATCTCAGAATTAAACTGATTCCTCCAAGAACTAAATGATTTACAGTTTTAAACTACCATTTTGCTTACTCATATGCTACAATTATTCATTCAACAAATATTTAGGTATCAGCTATGTGCCAGGTGCCATTCTAGGTAATGGAGTAATAGCACTGATTAAAAAAAACAACACAGTTCCTGCTAGAGAGTAGCTTCATTTCATTAAAAAGTAAAAATATATAGGGGCTACTTGCTGAAAATTAAAAAAAAAAAAAAAAAAAAAAAAAAAGAAAAAAAAAAATTCAAAATAAAAAGCACACATTATTTGGTAAGTGCTAAAAAGAAAATCAGGCCAGGTATGGTGGCTCATGTCTGCAATGCCAGCACTTTAGTAGGCCAAGGTGGGTGAATCACGAGGTCAAGAGATAGAGACCATCTTGGCCAACATGGTGAAACCCCATCTCTACTAAAAAACAAACAAAAAAACCAAACAAACAAATAAAAAAACCAAATGTGGTACATGCCTGTAGTCTCAGGTACTTGGGAGGTGGAGGCAGGAGAATTACTTGAACCCAGGAAGCACAAGCTACAGTGAGCCAATATCGTGTCATTGCACTCCAGCGCCTGGGCAACGGAGTGAGACTCCGTCTCAGCGCACGCGCGCCGCACGCATGCATGCACACACACACACACACACACACACACACACACACACACACACACATTCTCTCTCTCTCATAAAGGAGGGGAACTAATAATGCAGAAGGAAGTTCAACTGCAGGCACACTGACTTTCAGTAATAAGAAAGCGCTGGCTTTAGACACATGAACACAAAGAAAAGCAATTATCTGAGTACTATGTGAACAGAGAAAAAAATGAAGGCTGGTAGTTTTAGTGGTAGGGAAAAACAAAAGCTTCTTATGATCTGCCTTTTTTTTTTTTTTTTTTTTTTTTTTTGAGATGGAGTCTCATTCCATTGCCCAGGCTGGAGTGCAGTGGCACTATCTCCACTCACCGAAAACTCTGCCTCCCAGGTTCAAGCTATCGTCCTGCCTCAGCCTTCTGAGTAGCTGGGGTGCATGCCACCACACCTTTTTTTAGTAGAGACAGTGTTTCACTGTGTTGGCCAGGCTGGTCTTAAACTCCTGACCTTAGGTGATCCACCTGCCTCAGCCTCCCAAAGTGCTAGGATTACAGGCATGAGCCACCATGCCTGGCTATGATTTGCTTCTGTTTTTCTCAGTAAATAAGCTTAAGTCGGAAAGAGGTGGGGTTAGATGCTGAAGATTTGGAGGTGGGGAGATGTAGGATTAAAGAGCCTTGGAGAGGAGTGGAAAAGTGAATGAACTAGGCCTTCAAAGTTTGGTCAATGAAATGGGCCACAGGCAATGCAATAGTCCATTTGAGTTTAATGTCTATGAGTTTTAGGTGTCACCAGTCAACATGACTGTGCATTCTTCTCTAGGTTACACCTGGCTTTGCTCAAGTAGAGACTGGAATAGATATGAAGTTGTTTTCACTATTTTGTGTCTTTAATGACTCAGATAATGAATCCTAATTGAAAAAGACATGAGGTATAAACCTCAAAACTTTGAGGGGAGGCAGCAAGGAGACAATAGTGTAAAATAAAGCAGTAATGAAGAGCAGAGGCAAAATTCAAAGAGTTCTCCTGTTGTTAATTGGACTTTTAAGACTTTCAAACTTACTGGACAGATTCAGGTGTTCCAGTTAGCATACAGGACCTTTCTGGAAGGCCACCACTATCTACAATTAAAAACAAACAAAAAACACTTTAGGTCAAAAATTAAAGGTAGCATTATTATTACTAGAAACCAAAAAAAGAATGCTAGTTTTCCAGTCACTTTGAAAATATCAAGAGAACATAACATTACCAGGAGCTATCTGTATTTTGCATCCAGATTCCTGTTGTATTCGTGAGATCTGTTCACCTCCTCTGCCAATTACTAGTCAAAAAAAAAAATTTTTTTTGGTTGAAAAGATTCTAAAATGTGTTTTGATCATGTTTTCAAAACTTTAAAAATTAAGTTACTTACTAAATCCAACCATTCCATCTGGAACTTTGTATTCTTCTGTCATTACAGACCTGCTAAGAAGTAACAGAAAGTACCATTTTCCTTCAGTGAAAGATAATTTGTTTACAAATAAAAGGTAACCTATTAATAAAAACGGAAGTCCAATGTCTCCCAATGGCTTAAACTAAGATTCTAGGTTCAGACTTACGTCAAAACATATGGCCTTATTACTTGAGCCGTTAAATTAAGAATTTTAAGATGATGCATCAAGTGAAGAAGGGATGATGAATGCAACAGTCTGAAGGCATGAACTGTATAAAGAGCTGGACGAGTTTGGGGAATGTCATCTTAACAGTTACTCTAACTCACCCTTGTTCTAAAATGTGGCTAATTCCACCTATCTTTCCAAACCACAAATTTATCTCACTCATAAGAAAAATAATCACTCTATGGCACCTCCCCATGGTGGGGTGACATTAACTATGTATACCAAAAAATACAGACACATATTCAATATACACCAATATGGTTGTGTTTTTACAAACAGCTCAACCAAAACTTGCAGAATACTTTTTGAAAAACTTGTGACTCTACCTTTGCTGCTGATGCATCGGTGGTAACTGTGTTCCAAAAGCTATCAAAAAATTAAATAAAAATAAAATGAAAATTCAAAATTGAAGTTTACTTATATATTTAATTAACAACACAATCACATCAAACATTCAAAAACCTTTAACTAATGTACAGACAACACCTTGAAGAAAGTCAAATTTTATACAGAGTACTTATATCAGCATTGACAGTGGCAAGAAAGTCAATGAAAGGTTAGACATTATATTAGCAATGGCACAGAACAATCTCCTTTTTCAATTTGTACAAGCATAGATCAAGATTTGAAGTTGTTAAATACATAAAATAATTCAGCAACCAATCTTTATATATACCTGGACACAGTTAATGGGACAAATTGTAAAACAGAAGAAAAAGGTATATAAATTCATGCTAGGTGATCCAAAAGGCTCATAAACCAACTAACTTCAAAGACATCCAATAATATGAACAAAATCTTCATATTAAAATTCAGTTGACTTTTAACCCAGTTTAAAACGAATACTTACAGTCATTTTGAGGAGCAACTTTCTTAGCATCTGGTTGATCTGGAAAATTAAGTGTCTTTTAATTTGTTGCGAATTAAGTACAAAGCTTCTCCCCTCCCAAACAAGAATAAATAACAATATAAACATTTATTGAAATATCCAAAGGTATGGTTTATCATTTAAACCGAAACTGCCAAATTTCAACTCAAACTCAGAATCTAAAAACGAAACTATATTCTCTTCACGTTCAAAAGATGCACAGACATTAAACTAGTTATCTGATTTTAACAAACCACTGACATTAATGTACGTTAAGCATATTAGAATGATACAAGACAAAGTACTTTAGGTCCATTACTGGCGAAATATCACATGCTAAAGGCTAATGATGCTTCCACCTCAGGAACTGAAGACTGGGGGGGGGGGGGGGACCTATCAAACTAAGAAAATCTGACATATTAAAAGTTGAGTGTATCTGACGGTGACCACAAAGCTATGCCCCCCAAAAAACAACAACAAAAAAAAAACCCCCACAACATTACAAGGCAATTTCAACCTAAACTGTTCTTTTATAAACAAACATTTCACTGTATAAAACTTTAGGAAAAAAACCTCAAAGCAACTACAGTACTACCTTCATATAAATCCATTATACAGATGAATACAATGCATACCTTGGAACTGACAACCTATAGCTCAAAGTACTACATTCTCCTCCCCCCTTCAAACTTAAATGATTAAACATCAGAATGTTGTGCAGCAAAAATTCAGACACATAATCCAAGAAGTATTTGTGTCCATTTAAGAATCCACTGGTTTATTCCACGTTTACATACTGAACACATGTAATAAATAAAAATTCCTGCCTTTAAAAGGAGAGGGCATTCCCTCCCAGTGTGTTGTACTGCTCGGACTTGTCCAAGAGCCATCTACACATAAAATAAAAAGAATACATTACATACAACATCTGAAGCATCATTAGCTCATTTTTTTTTTGTATATTAAAAACCTCACTATAAATATGAAAGACACTTAAATAAAAGGAAATCAAGTTCTCTGGTCAAAAGCTACAAATACATTCTACAGCCACAGTGAGAATCCTCCCTTTAAAAAAAGGGGTAAAAAGAAAATGTATCAAAACTCATACATCAAACCTAAAACAAAAAATACATGCAGACTTCTAAGTTCAGGAGCTTCAACAATTACGATTTTTTAAAATACAAAGCACTGTAAATCCACTGTTTAATCCACAGGTTTAAAGCTAAACCTGAAACACAAACGTACTAAAAACAAAGAACATTAAAAAAAAAAAAGTTATAACCTGTAACACCCTAGGGTAGCAAACTATAGCAATTTCAACCTTTAAAGTGAAATTGGAAATAGGAAAATGACGAAAGCACAGCATATTAAAATCCATTCATGTATGAGAAAAACCAGTGAAATGCCTTCTAAGTAATATATATTCTCGTTTTTTTTTTTTACGTCTGTGCAAATTTTCAATCTGGCACAATACTAAAAGAGGGAAAATAAACTGTTTTCTAATAAGACAAAACTTCCTGGTTGACTCAAATTTTACCTACCTTGTTTAGGTCTCTCCCCAACCCCCAACCCCTTTTAGGCCAATATACACCTTACAATTTTATTACTTTTATAATAAAAGTAATGTCTCAATAAAATAATAGAAAAATACTGAGAATCACTTCAACTAAACACTCTGAAAAACAATTTAAAATGCTTATGAGTACAACTTACCTCCATCTTCTAAGGGTCTTTTTTGTCCCCCATAACCATAGTCATTTGAATTCAGTGATGTCCCAGCATCACCTCCAATTTTTGCTGCAATCTAAGAAAACAAAAAGAGAAAAAAAACAAAACAAACAAAAAAAAAAAACCCCACAAACTATTACATACCATTCATTACTAAATTTCCATCACTTCCTAATATGTATGTGAAATACTTAGTATCACATCAGAGAATTTACTTGACAAATTAAAATTACAGCTCAATTTATTGCTACCATAAATACTTCAGGCAGTTAACATAATAATCATGTGATGAAGCTTCTGATACATCCCTATAGGAAGCAACAAAGAAACAACCAATTAGGAATCCTTAAGAGAGAGCAAACTGATTTAAAGAAAATCTGGATCCTATCTGGCTCTCTCTCTCATGACATTTCAAAAGATGTGCGTAAACACAGAGAATGTGTACACTTTGTGGGACTCAAAGGCTAGTAAGACAGCCACTAGCCATATATGGTTACTAAGTACTTGAAATGTAACTAGTCTGAAATGACACTTGCTATAAGTGTAAAATTACTGAATATTGAAAATCTGGAACCATGTAAATCATCTCAAAATTTTTATATTGAATACATGCCAAGAGGGTAATATTTTCTATATGTTGAGTTAAATAAAACATGTGGCTCGTATTATAGCTTTATAGGACAATGTTTTTTCTAAGGATATATGCAGGAGTCTGATGAGCTCAAGTCTTAAAACCTCAGCTGTGGAACCATAAAGATATATATATATATATATTTTTTTTTGGAGATGGAGTCTTGCTCTGTTGCCCAAACTGGAGTGCAGTGGCATGATCTTGACTCACTGAAACCTCCGCCTCCTGGATTCAAGCAATTCTCCTGTCTCAGCCTTCCAAGTAGCTGGGACTACAGGTGCCCACCATCATGCCTGGCTAATTTTTGTATTTTTAGTAGAGACAGGGTTTCACTATATTGGCCAGGCTGGTTTGGAGCTCCTTACCTTGTAATCTGCCCGCCTCGCCCTCCCAGTGTGCTGCGATTACAGCATGGGCCACCCCCTCTGGCCTCTCTTAGAAGATTTTTAACTTTTAGAGTAGGGCAAGTAATTTCTTGCACCTGATCGAACAAATGTTAAGAAATATCTAGCTTTGCTGCCATGGTGGCTCATGCCTGTAATCTTAGTACTTTGGGAGGCGGAAGTGGGTACATGGCTTGAGCTCAGGAGTTCGAGAGCAGTCTGGGCAACATGGTAAAAACGCATCTCTACTAAATACAAAAATTAGCTGGGTGTGGTGGTACATGCCCATAGTCCCAGCCACTCGGGAGGCTGAGGCATGAGAATCACTTGAACCCAGGAGGTGGAGGTTTCAGTGAGCCGAGGTCACACCACTGCACTCTAGCTTGGGTGATAGAGCAAGACTGCTTAAAAACACACCTACACACACCCACACCACACCTGGCTTCAAGTCACAAGTAGGGAACAACCAGTAGATATTTATTGAATTTTTCTACAAAAGGAGAACTGGAGTGGTTCCCATTTCCATGGGGAATCATGGAGAGGTTCTGCAACATTGCTGAGTGGTCAGCAATAGGCCAAGCTCTACAGTAAAATGGAGTACATTCATTATAGAAGATGTGTGATGGACTCATGAGAAGTTATTACATACTTCTTTCAATTTTGAGTATATTTGAAATCTTCCAAGGAAAATATTAAAGAAAACCTAACTTTTAGTGACAGGGATTTCCCAAAGATATCCTGGTATGGATAACTGCTTCAAGTTTTTATCATCATCAGATAACTGGAGAGGATAAAATTATAGTTAAGGGTTTAAGTCATAAACTCAACATGGATCACTTAAGTCTAATTATGTATCAGTTCCCATATACCAACTGTATTTCCTAGGACTCCTAGATTTCCCTTTTCCTCATTTAAAAATGCAAACACCAACCACAAAGCATATTAGGATCAAGTATTAGATTGCTCGATTTAAAAAAAGATACACTCTTGGCCAAGCACAGTGGCTCACGCCAATAATCTCAGTACTCTGGGAGGCTGAGGCGGGTAGACCACCTGAGGTCAGGAGTATGAGACCAGCCTGACCAACATAGCAAAACCCTGTCTCTACTAAAAATACAAAAAAACCAGCGGGACATGGTGGGGCATGCTGGTAATCCCAGCTACTCGGGATTCAGGTGAGAGAATTGCTCGAACACAGGAGGTAGAGGTTGCAGTGAGCCTTTAACTCCAAGAAACTTCTATACAGCGAAGACACTTATTTATACATCCTTACCCACTGAATAGTTCAAAAACGATCCAAATGAAAATGAAAGTTGAGGCTGGTCACAGTGGCTCATGCCTGTAATCCCAGCACTTTGGGAGGCCGAGGTGAGTGGGTCACCTGAGGTCAGGAGTGAAACCTTGTCTGTACTAAAAATACAAAAAAAAAAATTAGCTGGGCATGGGAAGCATGCCCATAATTCCATCTACTCAGGAGGCTGAGGCAGCAGACTCACTTTAATCTGGGAGGCGGAGGTTGCAGTGAGCAGACATCTAACCACTGCACTCCAGCCTGGGCGACAGATCGAGACTCCGTCTCAAAAAAACATAAAAGTTGACACTTAGTTAACTCTAAAGAACCAGTAATACCATTTCAAAAATTTAGAACTGTTACAAAGACATTAAAACTTTTAATAAAAATACCAATAAAGGAGCCAGGCCCAGTGGCACCTGCAGTCCCAGCTACTTCAGAAGCTGAGGTGGGAGAATTGGTTGAGGCCAGGAGTTCAACGCTAATACAGCAGACTCCATCTCTTAAAAACAAACAAACAAACAAACAAACAAAAAAACTGAAAAAACAAAACGAACTGCAGATTTGATCAATTTTCTAAGATCAATAAAATATACAATTACTAGGTGACTACAAGGAGAATTTAAGAAAAATAATTCCTAAAAACCAATTTCCAACTATATTCAACTCCTTTTTCAGAGTACCAGAATTCAACATATTCAATTTTTATTAGACAATTACCAAGTGTGGGAAACTTTTAATTATTACTATTATTATTATTATTTTTTTTTGAGACAGAGTCTATGTTGCTCAGGCTGGAGTGCAGTGGCACGATCTAGGGTCACCGCAACATCTAACTCGCTGAGTTCAAGCAATACTCCTGCCTCAGCCTCCCGAGTGGCTGGAATTACAGGCACACACCACCACGCCTGGCCAATTTTTGTATTTTTAGTAGAGACAGGGTTATACCATATTGGCCAGGTTGGGCTTGAACTCCTGACTTCAAGTGATCCGCCCATCTTGGCCTCTCAAAGTGCTGGGATTACAGGCGTGAGCCGCCGTGCCCCACTACTTTATTTAATTTTAGTTTACAAAAACAATTCAAGCTTTCCACATGGACCATTCTCTGTTTCTTGTATGAGTAAGTTATTTTTCCTGCTTTCATTATTTTAGCATTCCTCACCTCTATTAAGTCAAGAAGTGACAAATCCAAGAATTTGGGAGTTGAAAAGAAATTTGAGAGACACAGTAATCTCTTTTTATCTTGTTTTTGTTCTCCACTGTTTCAGTTATCTACGGTATAGTACAATCAGATATTCTGGGGTTAGGGAAGAGACCCCTCATTCACATAACTTATTACAGCATATTGGTCTAATTTTTAAAAATTTGCCCTTCTTGTTAATAATACAGTGTATTGTTGTAATTGTTCTATTTGATTTTTTAAATTAAAATTTTGAGACCGGGTCAGACTGTTACCCAAGGCTGTAGTACAGTGGCACGATCATGGCTCACTTATGCAACTACCTATAGGACCCAACATTGTCAACACTGTAGACTTGACCTCCCAAGTTGAAGCAATCCTCCCACTTCAGCCTCCTGGGGAGCTGATACTACAGGCACGCACCACCATATCTGGCTAATTTTTTTGTATTTTTTATAGAAACAGGGTTTCACTATGTTGCCTAGGGTGGTCTCAGACTCCCGGGCTCAAGCGATCCTCCTAACTCAACTATCTTAGTTAAAGTTAAGTGTTAAGATTACCAGCGTGAACCACTATGACCAGCCTTGTTCCATTTTATTATTATCATTAATACTGTGTCTAATTTAGACTTCAAGCTTTATATATATGTATATATAGGAAAAAAACATTATCATGTGTATATATAGGATTCGTTACTATCTATGGTTTCAGATATTCACTGAGGGTCTTGGAATGTATCCTCCGAGGTTAAGAACGGACCTAAATATAGTTTACTTAATTATCTTCTGAGATTCAGAAAATCTCTAAAATCAGGTGGTATGACCAACTATAGACCCTTAAGATTTGGTTCCAGAAAACGTGCAAATACCAAAATCCACAGATGCCCAAGTTCCTTATATAAAATGGTGCAGTATCTGCATAACCTACACAAATCCTTTGGTATACTTTAAGTCATCTCTAGATTACTTACAATACCTGATACATTGTACACAGTCGTTGTACTGTTTATATTTACATTACTTATATTGTTGGACTGTTATTCCATTTTTCTAATATTTTTGATCCATGGCTGGCTGAATTTGCACATGCAGAGCCCACAGATACAGAGGGCTGACTTGTATTTTTATTCATCAAAAATGTGTACTGATTTAATTCAGTAAATGTTGAGTACCTACTACAAGCAAGGTCCTGATGGAGTTAGTTCCCATACACCAGACATGCGAAGAAACCTGGACACTAGAAATACTACCATTCCATGATTTGCTTATCACAACCAAGCCTTGCTATCCTGTCACAAAATAATATAAAAAAAGAATCATGCTCAAATGCTAGTTTTCACTGAAGAAACTAATGGTAATTCTAAAAAAAGCTCTATTCTATATTTTCATTTCATTCAAACAACATTGTGCAGCCAGCATCACTTTTATAATTGTCAGAGGAGACTGCAAGAATGATCAAACACATAATGACTAATTTTACAGTTGTCTAGAGGGGAAGGGATGAGGGTTAGCAGTCCTGCTTAGCTACTTATCTAGTCTCTGATTCATTTCTACCTTCGTACAACCTCAAGGAAAAAAACTGAGTTAATACATTTTAATTTTCCAATGTTCTAGAGACAGAAGTTGCTACTAATACCACTGCCAAAGACCTAATCAAACAATCCCAATCCCTGGAGTTACAGCTTGAAATATAAAAAAAAAAAATTTCTGAAGTGCACAGGCTGGAAACTCTGAACTAAAGCAGCAATCTGGTGCCCCTGTGTTGAATTTAGCTCAGAATATCATAAAAATCTGAAAATTTCACATGAAAATAAGCTAGGGAAAAAAAAAAAAAAAAAAAAAAAAGATGGGGTAACTAAATGACCATATGTCAACAACCAGCTAGACAGAGTTAACACTACTGTCATTACCAGATATGGACCAAGAATCATAATCACTTGTCCTGCTTTTATGAATAACCAAGAACTGTCCAGCTAAAAATACCAATGGCATCCCCAACTGGTACAGCCTTGAAGCTCCTTGAGAGCAGGCAACTGTTCTTGTATCTCTTCCTTCCAAAAAAAAAAGCCACAAAACAAAACAAAAAAACAGCAAAGTACTCTAGACAAAAAAAATAAACAACGTTAGTTGATAATCTTGGAAACTTAAGTCAATATTCTTAAACACACAAGAAAAAGTAGTTCAGATATTAACCTAACTTGTTTCTTTTGTCTAAGCACGCTTCTGTATATTCCATAAATTATATCATCAGACTAACAGCTACAACTGACATTTAGAGACATCATCAAATGTAATGGGTAATTCTAGTCAAAAGCTAAAGTTAGGAATCTCAGATTTAAGAACATTTCTTTTTTTTTTTTTTTTTTGAGACGGAGTTTCACTCCTGTTACCCAGGCTGGAGTGCAATGGCGCAATCTCGGCTCACCGCAACCTCCGCCTCCTGGGTTCAGGCAATTCTCCTGCCTCAGCCTCCTGAGTAGCTGGGATTACAAGCACGTGCCACCATGCGCAGCTAATTTTTTGTAGTTTTAGTAGAGACGGGGTTTCACTGTGTTGACCAGGATGGTCTCGATCTCTTGACCTCGTGATCCACCCGCCTCGGCCTCCTAAAGTGCTGGGATTACAGGCTTGAGCCACCGCGCCCGGCCTATTTAAGAACATTTCTATAAAGAAACAAATCATTACAGCAAAGACATCAGGACAACTGATGTCTTGGCATGTAACACAAGAAATTTCAGTTTGATGACAATTTCTGTACTTAAAAAAATCTAAAGCAAGAAACTATGGCTTAGCCTAATAATAAAATCCAATTTTTCTTTTGTGAGACAGGGCCTTGCTCTATTGATCTGGCTGGAGTGCAGGAGCGTGATCTTCACCCACTTCAACCTCTTACCTCCCAGCTTGAAGCGAATCTTGTGCCTCAGCCTCCGAGGTAGCTGGGACTGCCAGCGCAGGCCACCAAGCAAGGATACTTTTCGTATTTTTTGTAGAGATGGGGTTTCACCATGTTGGCCAGGCTGGTCTTAAACTGCTGACTTCAAGTGATCTGCCCGTGTCAGCCTCCCAAAGTGTTGAGATTACAGGCATGAGCTACTATACCCAGCATGAAATTCCATTTTTAATTAAAGCACTGCAACACAAGGTGTTCCATATCTGGATCCACCAGTACCTCTCCTGGCCTTGTTTCATGTCCTCCCATCCCGCACTATCTTCCAGTGACTTCACTCCTGTGTCCTTGTCTTTCCCCCGAACCCTCATACTTCCGTGCATGCTGCTTCTTTTCTCTACTGGCCAAACTTTCATTCATTCTATAACGCCTTGACCAAATATCACTCCTTTACTTAGGAAGTTGGGCATCCCTTTCCAACTTGTGTCCCATACAAGGTGCCTGCCTCATAGTATAAACTTCATCAACACTTATAAAACAAGCAGATTAATTAAATGTCCATATTTTGTCTGCTATCGTTAATCAAAGTATTAACCAAATAATCCTGTTCATCTGCATTTGGTCAAGGAACTATATCACAGCTTCTTAGCAGGAACCAATTCACCCATTAAACCAAAAAAACAATGCTGGGTGCAGTGGCTCATGCCTGTAATCCCAGCACTTTGGGAGGCCGAGGTGGGTGGAGATCAGGAGTTCGAGACCAGCCTGGCCAGTATTGTGAAACCCCATCCTTACTTTAAAAAAAAAAATAAATAAAAAATTAGCCAGGGATGGTGGTGCGCGTCTGTAAACCCAGCCACTGGGTAAGCTGAGGCAGGAGAATCACTTGAACCTGGGAGGTGGAGGTTGCAATGAGTTGAGATGATGCCACTGCGCTGCAGCCTGGGCGACAAAGCCAGACTCCATCTCGAAAAAACACAAACAGCAGCAACAAAACAACACACACACACACACACACACACACAAAACTTCAGTATCTATGTACAGTGTGCGACACAAATTAATCCAATGTGCTGGTTCTAGTAAAATAGCTGGTTCCAGTAAATAAAATAGTTCCCCTAAGTCTTCCAAACCAATCTAATAAAACCCGCTGACAGTTTGTCAGTTACATAAATCCTTTCGCTAGTCTAAACACGTTCAGAATTTCTTAAATTACGTGGAAAAAAAACCCGCAGAATAAATATTAATGTTGACCTTTTGTTATCCTTAATATTTCTGATATAAACAATACAGGTATATATTTATAATGTGTTTACAACATTAGATGTGTTACATTACAACGGATTTTATGAATTCTGATTTTGACTCAACGTTCCTTTAATTGTACCGGAGGCTAAAAAGTTAGAACTAAGTGAACTCCTAATGCAATCAAAACACACCACAAAACTGATTTCTAATTACCATTAGCTTAGCACTAATTAAAAATGTCCAGCACCTAGTACAATACGCATAGTGTCACAGAGAATAGGATTCTTTCGTTTACATGCAAATCCATATCAACACCACACATTTTGAAATTTTAGATATATTAGGGGACTATCTTAAAAATGTAAAGCTCAAGTTAAGAAACCTTTCATTTTCCTAGAATACACGTACTATTTTAACAGTTTTCGTCTGGGAAAAGTGGTGCCTTCAGGGCAAATGCACGCACTACGTAATACAAAGAGGTCTGGTCAGTTTACGACTCTGAACAGAGAGGCAGATTCAAATTGAAACCTCCGGTATAATGGGCCTGAGGCCATTTTGAGAAATAAGGGGGGCGGACTGGTAGAATAGACTGACACGTAAATCCCGCCCTGAGGAAGACTGCTTTCAAGTCCCTTCCTTGTAAGGTGTGAAGGTGAATGGTACCGAAAGCGGCTTTAATTGCGAGGGGGAACAGAAATGAGCTGCAAAGGCTACTTTAGTGACAAATCCCTTTCCTGGCGATGGCTCCAGGAAACAGACCCTAGTTCTTTCTCAAACTCATTACCAGAACCTTTCACTAAACTGTATGAAACTACCAACGCTTTATCCCCTAGAAGAGGGTATTCATCTCGAGGAAAAGGGGAGGCTGTTAGCTCACCGCGGAAAGGCGAGTGCCGCAGAAGCGGAAGAAAGACTTAAGGCCTTCTTCGCGTAGCACGCTTCGGGGTTCTAACTGGATTAGACACTAAGAACACAAAACTGAGTTCTGGTCTCTAATCGATGTTACCAACATGGGGAAAAGTGTCTCTTCACATTTCAGCCCGGAAGGACACCTCTTTCCTCTTCCTCTTGCGCTGAGGGTTAGCGGCCTACTCAGTCAGCGACCAATTACCATGAGCTTTCGGGATCCCGCCGCGCGGTCCACACTTACCTGCCGGGCTCTCTGCAGTGCATCTTTGAAAGCGTCGTTAACTCCCCCACCACCACCGCCGCCACCACCGCCACCAGCTGAGCCAGAAGAAGGTGGAGGCACTGTTGAATAGTCCGCCATGGTTGCTCTATAGGAGCCGCTGCGGCTTGTTCAGGGACTTCCTCTCAGCTAACAGCTAAGAAAGAAAGAAAATGGCGTCCGTTGAAGCTCTATCACATTCTTGCGCGACCATCGTGCCGTAAAGGGGCGGAGACCGAAGAAAGAAACTCTCGCGATGTTTCCGAGGCAACGCGCTAGTGTGAGTCTGGGGCTGAGAAAGAAGGACCGGAACAGAGACGTCGCGAGAATTAAGTTTAAAATTTCGCGAGAACAGAGTTTCTTTTGGCGCCTCCTTTTCGCGTGATCTTGGGGTGAGGCTGGGTAATTGTTCCTGCAGGGTGGTGGGTGACGGTGGCTCGTAGACTGCGGCTGGGTTGGGTAGTGGGAAGCCTGAAGAAAAGGTTGTTTGTTACTGGTCGCTGCCTCAGGGAGGTAGTGCGGCATAATTTTCTGCTATGGGTCTTTCTCGTTTTCCTCGGGGAAGGGCGTAACAACGACGGGCGTGACGTCGACTCAGCAGTGTCACGAGAGCGCTGCCGCCCAGAGGGCGCCAGGAGAAGCGCATCCGAGACGCCGCGCGGTGATGCTCCCGAAAACGTCTGCCCTGCCTAGCGGAAACCCAGCATGATTTTCAGGGTAGTAAAGTGTCCCTGTATTTTACTTCCAGACTGTCAGATTTTTGAGTTTTATACCAAGGGGAGGAATGGTGAATTCAGACTGGAAGCTTGTTAGTTCTCGAACATATTTTAAGTTTTTGTTTAAAATAATGTGGATGTGGCTCTAACAATATGACTGCCCTTTTCCTTTTTTTAAATTTTTTTTTTTGAGACGGAGTCTTGCTTGCACTTTCGCCCGGGCTGGAGTGCAGCGGCGCCATCTCGGCT